ATCTTCGCCGATAGGTCTTTCTTTCTATCCCTCTTCTATTTTCATTTTTTTTCTTTTTAACCGCATGAAAATTTGTCTCCTTGATTTTGTTCTCTCTCTCTCTTTTTTCTTGAATTTGTGATTTTATGTTTGCTCACTGAGAAAATTTGATCATAGTTTGGTTGATCGAACGACTGAACTGACCCAAATAGTTCAGTCTAGAACCGTTCTTTTCTTTGAACTCGGTCCGGCTATACACGGTTTAAGAAATAGTATAGCCGCCCGGCTATGCACGGCTTCTTCCTATTTTTACTTTATAAATAGCCGCGGGGCTATACTGGGTTTTGCGAAAAATTTTAAAAGAAATCGTATAGCCGCACGGTTAAACCCGATTTTTTTAAATTAGTCTAGCCGGCCGGCTCTACGCTGTTTTTAATTTTTTAAAGAAATAGTATAGCCGCGCGGCTATACTTTGGTTTTTCCTTCATTTTTTTTACCTTATTAATCTTATCAAATCCTAATTAATAAATATTTTCTTGAGTTAAACCTAATCATGAGACATTTACTAAATGATGACAAAACTTCACAAACAAAAATCTATATACTCTGAACCATTTAAACTAAGATTCATGCAAACCTACCATCATTCAAAACTAAAACATAGTATGGAGCTCTAAGAAGTCGTGGGAGCCATGCTATATTGTGTAATCACCACCATTACAAAAGCGGCACCAAAACAAGACAATCATTCTTGTGCAGGAAAGCTTTACATTGCTCCTAATCAAACATACTACCCTCAAAGGAAATACTTGTGCAATCTTTGTTGAACAAGCATAAAACAGAAAACTATAGGCACCGCCAAACTTAAGCACATGAGTGTTCTGTAGAAGCTAAGTAACAATTTATAGCTTGTGCAAATATTTCCGACTAAAGTAAGTACAGGCACCGCCCATTCTCTTTATAACTTTCTTTTGTGTGGTCTTGTATAATTTATTAATTTTCATTACAGAAGCCCATCATCAGAACTTACATTCAAAATCAATGTAAAGAGACATCGTTGCTACTTACTTTGGATGGTGGCGATGGCAGCTGCTGGTAGTGTTGGCTCGTGGCAATGACGATGGCTGCTGCCCTAGGGCTAGGAACATAAAACGATGAAATAGAGAGGGGAAGCAAGAAGGAGCGGCTATGAGAGAGTTATTGACAAATTTTTTAAAGAGTTTGGAGCAGATTTCTAGTGTCCCACATCGGTAAAACAAGTGACCACACAAAGGTTATAGGGACTTACATAACACTTCAAATTGCCGAGCCTAGTAGCATGGCCTTGTAACTAAGCAGGGCTTTAAAGTGATTGGTTGCTATGGAAACCTTCGTAGGTGTGAGACATAGTGGTCTTGGGCTGTTCACCTTGGCATTAGTGGTGAAGTTGGGTAGCAACCAAACCAGAAATATATGAGAATTTGATTGGGGGGTTACTTCCCCACACAGACCAAGATTCCGCTTGCCTCAGTGTGCTACCCGGGAATAGAGCCCCTCATCACACAATCACTTTTTGCAGAGGCGTTGCGTTGCCGTATGGTACAGTTGTCGTGTTTAAAGAGTCATGCCAAACGCCAGCGTCTTGTTAATTTTAAGAACATAACATAAGCCTAAGGTCCCGCTTCCTCCATTCCTTCACAATAAAAATTTATTAAATTAATTAGTGCCTTTTGTTTTATGTTCTCTCTCCCCCTTTGACTAGCTCTCAGCCATCCAACCACCCACCAATTTCTAACGGGAGCCTCTCCTTCAATCTATTCAAACAAGATGTGAAGCCTATTTTATAAATTTGACTTCATATCCAATCTATGACTGTCTAAATCAATCTAGGGCTAAAGAGAGGCTTGAATTGTTTCAATTTATGAGTCAATGACCTCACAATATATATGGATCATATGTTTTACATATTATTAACACACTAATATATTTTTATTTTTAATAATTGAATGTTCAAAAGGTTTACGCCTCGTTTTGCGAGATATAAGATACTTTGTTTCAACGCCTTGCTTTTCAAAACATTGATACAAGTACTTCTTTATTTTCTTTTTCTTTTTTTTTGGGTAAGGAATTTAGGAAGAAGATATGTGACTCAAAGGACATAACATATTTTTGTTGAATAATTAACGGCCACCATCCATTCGGGTTAACCCCAAAGCCTCTTGTTATTATTTTTTTTTAAAATACAACGGAAGTGTAAACCAAAACAATAGTATAGCTGTGGCTAGACTCGGTTTTGCCCTTTAAAAAAAATAAAAGAAATAGGCTATACTCGGTTTTGCTAATTTCCTTAAAAGAAATAGTATGGCCGCGGCTAAACTCGTTTTTTTTTAAGAAATAGTATAGCCGAGCGGTAGTACTCTGTTTTTAAATTTTTTTGAAAGAAATAGTATAGCCGCGCGGCTATACTATTGTTTTTATATTTAAAAGGTATAGCCGTTCGGCTAGACTATTTATTAAAATAAAAAAAATAAAAAAGAACCCGCCTAGCCCGCCTAGGCGGCCCATTTTTCGAAAACTTGAATGGCGTGTGTTTTTTTTTTAATTTCTTTTTTTCCGGCTTGATAACTCAGTCCTTGGTAAAGTCAAAAGTATCAGTTTATCTTCTTATCTTAGGGGTCCTCCTCCTACTCCTTCTCCCGCTCTGTCTCCAGAGCCAACAATTTCTCCATATCCTGCTTCTCCAGTTCCCCCCCAGCACCATCCAAGGTACCTCCACATCCTCGTCCATGTCCATACCGCGGTTCTGGAATTCCTCCAAGCTCCTCACCAACTTCTCATCTTAACCCTACTGTTCCTCCTAGTTATGCACCTAATGGTTCCCCTTACTCGCCTTCTGCGAGTCCTTATACGAGTCCCTCATCTCAATTCCTCCAAGCTGAATCACTGGTTGAGATTCAGTTCAGGTTTACCTAAAACAAACATAACACTTAGTGAGTTTGACGGGATAGTGTTGGACTACTCACGGCAACGTGCCACGCCTGAAACCTTGGAAATTGGCAGAGGTGGGGGAAGGATTGGGTGAATATAGTGTTTTCTAATTAATGTTGTTGTCTATGCCACAATGCAGGCTGCATCCCTCAAAGAAAAGATTAACCGAATGTTTGGTGGAGAGCATGTACGTTTCAAGTTTATCTTCCTTTGGTCGAGTATTATGTGCATAAATATGGAATTAAAATGCTAATTTGAACACTTTTTTATCTGCAATTAGCGAGAAGTGTTTCCTATTTAAAAATAAAAAAATATTTTCTGATATGGGGGAAGCGATTAAAATTTGGGACCTCTTCCAACAAAGTAGAGAGAAGTACCAGTAGAACAATAGCTAGTTGGTGTCTCCTAGATGCCCAAATTTCTGACCTTTAACTGTCTGAAATCACAAAAACTTATATTTGATAGCTTTATAGGATTTATGGTAAAGATCATGAGACCAGCTTATTTCTGAAACCATTGTCATGTGATCCTTTTGCATTCTGTTTTTCTTTTTCTGGGTGGTGCCTTCTCATAAACAGCACAGAAAATAGATCAGTGCTTCATGTAGCTCTTCATGCTCCAAGTCTTGTTTACTATTTAGTGTGAGTTTCCTTGTGAAAATGATTAAGCTTTCTTTGGAATAAACTTTGGGTAGTGTTCTCTTGTTTGATTACATTTTGCAGATCCAGAGGCTATCGAAACAGCAAGGGGAAGGCAACTGCATTTGTAAGTACTTACGTATCAATTTTTAAGTGATTATTTTCCAGTTCTCTATATCAATGAATTAAGAGCCGGTAAGATGCTAATGGTATGAATCCAGTCTTGAGGCTTTTGAAGTGATTTCACACTACTGCTGTCAAACATTGCGGATTATCGTTCGTTCATTGCTGAAACTACGTTGAATGTTCGAAGACCTATACTTTTAAATATATTATTTGAGAAGTACAGCCGGCACATATATTTGAGGAGTACAGCCGGCTATACGTGTTAAATATATTATTTAAAGAGTTTAGCCGCCCGGCTATACTATTTATAAATAATAAAAAAAAGGAACCGCCTAGCCCGCCTAGGCGGCCGACTTGAATGGCGTATTTTTTTTTGGATTTCCTTATTCCTGGCGGGTCTGGTATCTTTGCAAATACATCAAGCTAGGGTTTTACCGACTCTATTGAAGACATCAAATCAGGTTGAGAGGAAAAATGTGAGGGAGAATAAATTTTTTTAGTGACTGCAAAATGGTTTTTTATTTTTCATTGCTCAAAACTTCGACTCCAGTTCTTCAGTTAAACTGCATCTGTAATGTTTAACTCAAGTAAATATGCATTTGATGAACCCTCATAGGGTTCCCCTGCTTGTCGATTGACATTAATAATGGATGCCCTCTGATTTCTTATTAGTTGCAGATCAGATCATGTATGGGGTTGTCTTTAATTTCTCTTAGAGATTCAATCCCACTCGAGCCTAAAACTCGTAACTAATGATCCCGATCAATCGTCTCCACTCTCTTTGTCTTCTATAATTTTTGGCATGGCCGGAATGAAGTTGCGAAAGAGAGATTGGTGAGTTTTGGCTCAAAAATTACTGTTGAAATGTGGTCAAGATCATGAGAGAGAGAGAGAGAGAGAGAGAGACAAGTGCGCAAGAAAGAGTAGTTGAAATTGAAAGAAATAATGGCTGCAAATTTTCCAAGAAACTTCTGAATTTATTTTGTTGAGGAACATTAAATTCGCCGACACAAGTCTATGTTAAGTCCGGTTACGTTGTACTAACCCAAGATTGAGATCGAAACATTAATCGTAAAGCCCTAGGTGAAAGTTATGTGACTATCGAAGCCTAATCAAGTCCTACGGTGGGTTTACGATTAAGTTTTGAGGCTTGGATTAAGGGTTTGGAGGCTAAAATTCATTTTTAGAATACTAAAATAATTTTCGTTTGCAGCAGGATATTGTGTGACTTAGAACGTGGATGCTCTGCCTAATTTGAGGTGAACTTTTAAATTATGTTTATTTATCCATTTATCCAGCCAACATAAATTGGAAGGGGAGCTGATTAAGTTATTAAGATAGATAAAGGACTGAGTTGGGCAAAACTTAAAGACATAGTAACCAGAGAAGGAACATACCATATTTACGGTAATTACATGTGCTATGTGCTGTAGATCTTCTTTGCCACGTCCAACCAGACCTCTATGCCTCATGACGAAGACAGCAAGAGATCCAACCTAAATCAAAGATCAGAGCCAGCGGTTTGATTAATTATAGGAGATGAGAAAGAGCAATACCATGCCAGAATAGCTTGAAAGAAGATTCACTTGGCATTCCATAACACTGAGTAGGTACATAGGCAGATTTTTAAATTTCAATATATAAAGATATGAACTAATCTTCCTTTTGTCAAAGCAGCGTGACACTCACAGAAATGTTTCTTTTTCATTTATACTTATTGTTTCTCTTTTGGCGGAGGAAATCCTGTAAAATGATATTCAGAAGTTGCAGAGGTTTATTTTGAAACAAATTTAATAAGTTTGCAGCTGACAAATTTCATGAAAACTGTAAAAGAGGAAGCTATATATTAAATGGTGAAATACAGGAAAAGGAGAAAACATTAAATCTTCTGAAGACAGATGAATAAGAAATGGGGAAAAAATAAACAAGAAGGAAATAATTGCAAGAACATCAACTTTGCTTGTGTGACTGCATGACAATGAACCTGATTTTACTGGATTCCTCTGCTCTATTGCCATAAATGAATTAAACCAAGATTATCTGGCAGGTTATATGGTGCATCTAGGAAATCCAGAAAAAGAGTCCGGCTAAGGAAAAACAATAAAATGTCTTACTAATCCAAAGACTGCCCCTGATGCACCAACTGCAGGTGCCTCACTGAACCAATAACTCATCGCTGAACCTGATTTTCTCGAAACCACTGAATCAGAATACTAGTCGCTAAGCAATTTTTATTGGCTATTGTAGATAGATCATAAAGCTGTTACTTGCAATTGCAGAGGCGAAGTAGAGTGCAAGATATCTATTAGGACCACTGATCTTCTCCATGGTAGGACCAACTGAATTTAAAGAATAACAATTAACCTGAAAACATACGCAGAAACAGACAAAATCAGATTGAAATGCAGACATTAGAATGCCAAGCCGTAAGATTCAAAGCATACCATTAGGTGCCCAACATTTGCATGTAAAAAGGAAGATGTGACCAGCCTCCACAATTGCCCTTTGTCGATGAGCCTATTTATCCATGGACATTGTCTTTTGCTGATTTCATTTACTTTTTGCCTTACTTTGCATGCCAAATTATTTGATATTTACATCTGATATGCAAGTTAATCACATGATGTATGCATTTTGCAGCTTCAGCAGTAGGACCTTTCTACAAGGAGATCCGTTTCTTGGAATTTTCAGGATTCTTGATCTTTTATCCCCTCTGTTGGTTACGTTCATGGTTCGTTTTCTCTATGCAAAGGAAAATTTGCAAGGCACACAAAAACACCACAGCACAATGATGTGCCATGCTTAGTTTTGTTTTGGCGAGGATGGTAGAGTGTCCATGTGAAAAGTTTGACACAACAGGTTCCTTATGCAACAACACATATAAAAGCAATTCAGGAGATGATTGCAGGTCAAAGCCAAAAAGGTGGCGGGCCTATCATCTCTGTTTTACATTTGTGATGTTGTAACTACCGGAAGGTCATTCCAAAGGGAAAACCTCCTAGAGATAGTGTGACCAGTTGAAGAATACTTAGCTTGCAGAATTTTCAAAAAGAACCTTATCTTTTTGAGCATTTGCAATGCAAGGCAAAGTAAAAATTGATACACAATTTGTATAGGTTAGTATCATATACTTGTGAAGGGGCGATGACTACATCTTTGTATGAAAAAAAAAAATTCATGGTGAATCATTGAGTGGCCTGATCCCTTTTTGGGTGCCTTTTGTTTTTAATCCTGAAGTGAAGAATTAAAAAGCCAAATGGTTCCTCAAAGAGGCCTTGGTATGCCTTGACCTTGGGATGGGGTAGCCTCCCCTCCTCCTAAACACATGCTAGAGCTTTCACTTCATATACTGCAAGGTGATTCTTGTTTATGGCAAGGAGGTGCAGCTCATTCTGGTGAATTTGGATGTAAGTATCTGACAATGATCTCAACTCCTTCCCATCTGGAATCTGCAACAATTTGCTTCTCTGTTTTTCCCACACAAAAATCTGCAGGGCCAAAACGACGTCGTTAAATAACAGAAGTCACATTAGAGTAGAAGCCATGTCTGAAAGTAATATTGTAGTTTCCAATATGTATCAGCACCAGAAGAAACTAGTACATTCAGAGTGTTCGAGAAGGCAAGGCTAGTGACTCTTTTGGAGTGACCCTCAAGCTTCCTTGTAACCTGCAAAATATTTAAATCAAGGCAATGACAAACTTTTCGGGTTTGCTTCATCACAACATCGAGCATGATTTGTTTTTTACAAGAACAAACAAATTTCCTTGTCTGAGTGGAGATTGTATATTACAATGGTGGAATTGTCCATGCCAATAGCAACTATACCATCATCTCGGGAGTGAAAAGCAAGACATGTTGCCGCAGGTGGCGGTGGCCTGACTTTCTTCATCGTATGCGTTTTTACGCAACAGATTTTTATGAGTACAATGAGTTAGAGCATGAGAAATTTGCAAACAGAACCTAAGCATATTGACAAACAAGATTTGGGAAGTTTTGGCTGGGAAAAGAAAATTTCAAGAATACTATGTGTTGGGTTTATCTTAAATGTTGTCATGTCAAAAATGGAGATCACCCCTCCTGTTGCTGATATGAGATATTTTTCATTCTTGGACAAATCAAAGCAGGACATAGAGTCTTCAGGGTTGGGTGCTGGGAAGGTCATTGTTCATCAGCTCTAAGCCACTCCTTGGTTTCCATAAATTAGGGTGAACCTTGGGAGTTGCCTGCGTTCAATCAATATCATTAGAATCAAAAAAAAAAAAAAAAAAAAAAAAAAAAAAAAAAAAAAAAAAAAAAAAAAAAAAAAAAAAAAAAAAAAAAAAAAAAAAAAAAAAAAAAAAAAAAAAAAAAAAAAAAAAAAAAAAAAAAAAAAAAAAAAAAAAAAAAAAAAAAAAAAAAAAAAAAAAAAAAAAAAAAAAAAAAAAAAAAAAAAAAAAAAAAAAAAAAAAAAAAAAAAAAAAAAAAAAAAAAAAAAAAAAAAAAAAAAAAAAAAAAAAAAAAAAAAAAAAAAAAAAAAAAAAAAAAAAAAAAAAAAAAAAAAAAAAAAAAAAAAAAAAAAAAAAAAAAAAAAAAAAAAAAAAAAAAAAAAAAAAAAAAAAAAAAAAAAAAAAAAAAAAAAAAAAAAAAAAAAAAAAAAAAAAAAAGGTGCATCGGGTGCACCGGTACAGCCCATCACGTGAGGTCACGTGAGGTTTTTTTAAAAACAGGAGAAACCTTAGCAGCAGGTCACCAAGTTAAACGAATTCACGCGCCTTACTGTGGATGTCATCTTCTTCCCTAAACGCATCTGTTGAAGTTCAAGCTGATTTCTGGTCTTCAAAGTCATCTTGTTCAACTCCTCTTCGTGGTCTTCAAAGTCATCCTCTTCGTGATCTTCCTCCTCTCTGCAACATCTGGTTGAAGTTCAAACTGAGCGTCAACTTTTCCCCTTGCTTTAACCTGTTAACCAACACAGCCGTTTTCCCTTGTTTTAAAAACACCCCCACGACACTCCTTCCCCTTCTTCCGAATACCTCACCTACCCTTCTCTCTAGACTCTAGTTCATTTTCTTTCTGTTTGGCTCAATTCTAACATAGTATCATGACTGATTTATCTTATCACATGCTTAAATCTTGAGAACCCTCTTCTTAGAAATCCCAAATTTATTTGATTTCTTCTATTTCCCCAAATCTGATTCACCCTTGATTCATTAAACCTCAACTATTATTTATTATGGCTTGTACTAAATCTCTAGTTGCTGCCCTTCTACTAAATCCAAATGGAGCAGATGCACACAAAGTTGCAGTCATGAACTGATGAAAACTTCCATCTCCTGCGAAATATGTGAAAAATGGAGAAGCTGGGATGGGTTTGATTGATTTTTGGGTTTAATTGTGTTCGGGTTTGATGGAGCTGTGTTTGATTCTTGATGTCTTGGTTTGATTGATTTTTTATGTTTGTGTTTCTTTTAGACGGGAAGATAGAGAGACAGGGAGGGAGGGAGCTGAGGGAATGGGGGAGGGGGAGAGGTGTCGGGAAGGGAAGGAGGGGATGGGTTAGCTATTTTTAGTGGATGGGCAATTTGCTACATTCAGAGTCATTAATCTATACCGAGTCATTCCATTTTTGCGTCATGGTACGTGCAATTGCATAGTCTTTTTACAATTATCCAATTATTATGAGTAATTACATATAAGTTCACAGTATGTCTTGAAATTTTATATGCAATTATTTACAATAGATATGCAATTGCACAACAATTCTAGGACATGCATTAAGAACTGAAACATCGACAAAGGCGTAGTCTCTTTGAAATTCTTTCCACTATTTGGAAATTGCATAGTTGTCAATACAAATGCTAACGACACAAATTACGTTCAATTACACATTACTCATATCGCAATTGAATTTGTAACTTACTTCCTAAAGTCGAATAAGTATAAGAAATCGTTGTTACACTTCATAACTTAGACCCTAAAGCCTAATAAGCATATAATTTAAATAAATAAATAAACCCCTTAAATATCAACATACCATCCATTGGTATCACTAATAATCCTATCGCTCAAAATAAGTGACCGATTAATTGGTTCTCCATTTTTCTTGGCAAAAAAAATTGGTTCTCTTTTTTAATTGTTACATATACTATATACTCATTAAAATATTATATTTGACTAAAAGAAATTAAATATTATATAATAATGTATAGATACCCATAGAAAAGAATAATTAGACTATCTATATTATATTTAGACCAAAAAAATTAAAATGAATATAACTAATGTAGGGTTTAACATTGCAATTGAGAGCCCATACTGTAAATCTAAGCTATTTCATAGAGGTAAGGCCAAGGATTAAAATATCAGCCATGCAAATAATATTGGGCCTCCAATTTACGGATATTTTGGGGGATATATTGTTATCGTTTTAGGTATCGGGAAGAAAAAAGACAGATATAGGCATTGAAACACATAATTTTGGTATAAAACTTTCACAAATGTTATGTACATTATCAATAAATGTATTGAACAAATAAAACTCAAAATTTACTAATAATAAGATATACATATGATGAAATATAAGTGGTATGTAATGTGCATTAATGAAAAGTTTGAAAATAAAATGTTGATTACACTAGTAAAAAATAACCCTTGCGAGACCAAATTTTGCGCGATGAAAAATTATTCGTTGCTCAAAGTAACTTTGCGCGACGAAACTCAAAACTTCGTCGCTCAAAACCTTGCGCATGCCATCAAAACAATATATTCACTAACAATTAAGAGTTTATTTATACTTTTGTTAAATATAACTTAAGATTTTGGGGTATCCACCAGTGTAAATATTTTAAATTGACGATCGAATTAGTTCATTGTATTCATATAGGGTCAAGGAGTGTAGCTGTAAAAAAATCATCAAAATCGGAGTTAAAATAACCGTTAAATCGTGATTTTTCATTTATAACCGTCGAAAAGTTTTGTCTCAGTACTTGATTTCTGAATGTTTATTTTTTCCAATTTTTGGCGTATATGATCTCGAAGTATGAACAAACAAGTTTGACGGTTGGATCGTTGAAACTAGTTTTGTTGAATGCTATGCCATCAAAACAATATATTCACTAACAATTAAGAGTTTATTTATACTTTTGTTAAATATAACTTAAGATTTTGTGGTATCCACTAGTGTAAATATTTTAAATTGACGATCGAATTAGTTCATTGTATTCATATAGGGTCAAGGAGTGTAGCTGTAAAAACTTATCCAAATTGGAGTTAATATAACCGTTAAATCGTGATTTTTCATTTATAACCGTCGAAATTTTTTGTCCCGTTACTTGATCTCTGAATGTTT